ATCACAATAGGCCACAATGCTTTCCCTCTTTCTCTCTGCCGAAGAACGGTAGTTTCACTCATTCGACCTGGAGAGACATTCATGCAGACTGCGATGGATCTACCTGGGAAAAGTCGCTGTCTAATGACTGAGCTCAGTCGTGAGGGTTGGTGCAGTGCGTGTGGTCCCATTGTTAACGGGCAACAGTTGATTTAGTGAGGATGTAACAATGAAGCGTGTGTGCTTTGTCATTTTCAGACTGCTGTAAGGAAAACAAGAAGAATCATCCCCTTCTGGTGCGTCGAAGCCCAAACAGCTATCCTCATTATAGCTTCTGAGGTAGACAAACATTAGGGAATTAGGCAAGATTGTATGTTAGACAGCAAGTTGTTAACCTGTCTGGGCAAATTGATAAAATGCAAGGTCTTAATTGCCGATGCAAGATTCACCAAAGATTAATTGACAATTATCCTTTGAAAATTCCCCTTCAACTAAATCCAGCGTTCCTGAGTACTTATTTACCTTCATGAGTCAAAGTCTGGCCTGCTTTCCTCGTCTCACAGAAATAAACGATTGTTTGAGATGTTTAGAACTCAGCTCCTGGGAGGAAGTTAATTTGTAGCATTCCAGATAAATGCAGCAGCAACCTTCCTGGCGGGAAGCTGTCCCTCGTACAGTATTTTAGGCTATAATTATATGTTAGGGTAGATTAGCAACATAACCACACAAAGTTGAGTCTCAACAAGCGTTGCACCACTGCAAGAATGTGATTCCCTCAGATGTGGTGTAACACACGCTCTGGTCCCAAACCCAACGCCACAGGCATGAACACACATACACAAAGACACACACCCATCAGAGCAGCAATTTAGAACCAACCAACTTTTGATATAGTCATTAAATACCCATCCTTCCAGCGTACTGTATTTAGCTGATTGATTGTAGGAAGCCGGTTTTGACTCATCCAAACCACTGAAACACCAGCAACCATATTCTCACCACAGAGTTCCATAAAATAATGAATAATATCCTGATGATTAAACAGTTTTTAACACATTCACTGTATCCACTATCTATTACTTACCCAAATTGTAGGTGGAAACAGTAGTTACAGTAATTCACAGATGAAAAAAAAAGGTTAGATAGGGTGATACGTTTGATACGCAGCCGACATATAAAAATAACTCGTGATTAGCATCATCAAAAGCAATTGAGCTGGCCTGTAATTACATGAACACTTCTTTGGGCACGCCCAGCCTGGCAACTGTTACACTGTGAGGTCATGAAACACTTGTGAGACAGTAGGAATGGGGAACATCTAAAAGCACACACACACACACACACACACACACAGTCAGACATAGTCAGACAGTCACAAACATGCAGTTAGCCAGATATAAAAACTTCAAGTTCAAATACATGAAAAACAACATAATTTGCCAAGGAGCCCTAAAGAAGAGCTGCGGGGTTTGGCCCGACGCGGCTGCCTGGCCGAGAGAACAAAGCTGCATGAGAAACAGATGTTGTGAACGTCTGACACCTCAAAGCTCTCACTCTGACTGTGTGCGTACGCGTGTGTTTGTGTGAGAAATAAAGACAATAAAAGGAGGGACACAGCAGAAAATATCTAACTGAACACATTATGACCCAGAAAAGACCCGTTATTTCTGACAAGACCAAATTACAACTTTACATTAACTTTTACTGCTAGAAAGAACTGTTACTCAAAGTAAATACCAGTCACAGCTTTAATTAGAAACTATGTTGATTCACGGAAGAGCTGTAAAAGTGTTGTTGGGGTGATGTCTGGATAAGCAGCTAGTAAATAGACGGACGGATAGATGGACAGATTAACTAGTTCTTATAAAGGAAATCATTGGAAGCAGAAGGGGAGCACCAAGATCACCATAAAATACACAAGCCATTGAAAACACCTCTGTTTTCTCTTGCACTTTACAAATGCGTGCAAATCCCGTTATAAAATCAGCAAATGTTCATGATAAGATCAATAACCAGAGCAAGGAGAGGCTACCTGTATAGAATCCCAGATGAACCTACAGAGAGGATCCATGGAGGAATGTCGGCGACAACCCAACTGGCACACAGCAGTTAAGATGAGGCCCCTCAGAGGAACTTTTGGTTACGAAACAGCCTGCACATAATAAACATGTAGCAGCCTCTTGGGTGTCGCAGCTAAGAATCCATCCTCACTGGCTTTACCATCGCTAAAGCGTGTCATAACTGATCTGGTTCATGCAGATGAGCATGCCTCTGGATTTCCCACGTAGCTATAGGACAGCCATGTGTGCCCTATATATGTTCTAGAACACGTGTTTACATGCAACAAACCCTGTGCATTAGTATAGCAGCTATTTGCTTGACTGGGACACGTGTTGTGTGCATGTCCCAGTCAAAAAAGAGAAGATCCCATTTATTTATGCTCTTCCTGCAATGCATACAGACTTGTCAAACAGCGTGCAATAATTCTTTCTTTGTATATGTTAGGCTTACACTCCCTCCTTCAATCCCTCAACCCTCTGTCTGACCACATCCGACTAGCGTGACACGAGCATTGCGGTTCTGTATAGGCACAACAACCAGGATCTTGGCAGGGGATGGGTAGGATGGGGCACCAGGGTACCGGAGCCAGACAGACATAGAGACCTGGCAATAGAGGGTGTCCGCTCAGGCCGGAACATGCCTCCAGCTGGTAGACCCAGTTCCTTGACAGGTTGGCAGTGTTAACTGCTCCCCCTTCCCTCTGGTCTATGTCTGCCTATCATCTGTCTTCCAACACCAGACCTCTTTCTTTTCACATGCCACTTTATTCCTCTCAATCACTATATCTGGAACCCCCCCCCACGTCTTTTGTTCAAAAAGGATTTGCATTGCATTTGTGTTCATATGGGGACATCACTAGTATCAAAGTATCAGTGCAGAGAACTGCAGATTTGCATGAACTAACCTCTGAAAATGATTTACAATATCCGCATCTAAAGAAAAATATTTGTACCTGTGTGATTGGATCAGAGGATCAGAAACAGTCACCACCAGTATCAGAGGGTATAATTTCTAGTTGGGGGGAAAAACAGGTTGGCGTGACTTAAATGACCAAATTGCCCCATTGTGGGGACACACACACTTTAAATCACCAAACGAGATCATAGAGCTTCTCAGACAAACTTTCCCCGCAGCTTCACAGATAAAACATCGTGTGGAGGTTTCTGGCAAGCTGTCGGCTCGTGCAGACTCCCGCTTCACGCCAGTGTACAGATTTGCATTCGGCTCAAAGGAGGCCTAGAACATCAAAGCGTCTTTAAAGCACCACGTGATAATGAACAATAGGACAGGTGAAGAAGAAACAATGCAACACAGGAAGGCTCTGAACTACTGAACCCAGAATGCACCACATATGCTAAAATTAAATAGACTGCATCAATGGTATGATAGAAAAAACAAAACTCCATGATGTGTGTTACTGTTACGACCCCAAAGATGAACAAAGTCTATCCTTCTACGTTATTTTTCAGAAAACAGATATTTTTGTATTTCCACTCATTCCAGGACTTTTGTAAAATATCTGTAGACACTCTAGACGGATGATTGTGACAGTCAAAGCGAGGAGTTTTAATAAAACATGACAGGCTAAATAAAGAGCTGCAGCAATCTGTGGAATGTAATTCAGAAACTGACATTTAATTACCGCCAGAAGAGTTTTCTGACAGTAACTGAGAAAGGCTGCTTTACTTATATCTACAGTAAGAAACGAAATTAAAAATATACTTTCTAGGCTCTCATAACTCTCCAATCTGTCCATTGAAAGGTAAATTGAAAAGGGAGGCAAGTGACACACTGTTCTTAGTGTCAGGGACAACAAAAGTACATAAAATCCTCATATATACATATACAATACACAGAGATAATGGCATTTCCTTCCTTGACAACCTTTAAAACAGAACTCTGTGTTCTGCGTCCTGACACCAACAAAGTCTTCATAACAAGACATTGCATGATGGCTTATTATGTATGACATTCCCCACATGCTATTCATTCCAGATGATACATCCTAACAACACCTTACAACACTCTCCTTTTTAATCTATCCCGACATCACAACACTCTTGCATGGCAACGTAGTCCATGTCCAATCCAATCTCTGCCCCCATCAAGATTCCAATATTCCATTCATGCACGCTGGATGCCGTTGTTGACTGGAGAGGTTTGTATGCTATATCAAATAATATATCAGATATATATACATATGATATATGTTCCATCATTCATTCAACATCTCTGAACTCCCTATCCTCCCTCTGGTTTGGCTTCGGCTGGTATGGTAATGAGCTTGGTTTATTTGAAATAAAGAAATCAGCATAAAGTACACCTGTGCAGTTAGACAAGGTGTGACACTGTGAGCTTTCACCAGCATTCATCACAACTGTACGACTCGTATCCTTGTTCCTGTCTCAGGATGCTATATTCTCCAGTGAGGCTCTCCTGTAGAAACCCATTATGCATTTCATAGCAATCACACCAGGCTCCTGAGCAATTACTTCCAGTTGGCCTGGACACTGCTTATTCGAGTCGGCTTGGGAATTCATTGGGCAAAACTTAAGACTTCTGAGAGGGAGGGTATTTTTTTTTTCATGTGCCAAGTGGATTTAGTAGCATGTATGACTCCCCAAAGACGTGTTGACGATGGCTCAAAGCTCCTCTTAATTAACACATAAGCCGGTTGATGTTAATTAAAAAGCAGACACAAAAAAGATCACACAGAAAGGAGAGCTGTATATCCCAAACACAGCGAAACATGCAGCGGCAATGCTTGGCACCTATTCAGAGGAGATTTCATGTAGCGCTCTTGAAACATATGCATTACAAGTGGGCGCCTTAACCGGGTGTATCGAATACGTTTTTTTTATGTCAGTTATTTTAGTGGGAAAAAGATCAAATGATCTGACACTGATACTATCTAAGATGATTTGGTGTAGTAATGTGTAGAGTCCATCCGTGCCACTTACTTCATGGGCTTGAACAGACCTTGTCCATAGTTCTGGAAAGTCATGATCAACTTCAGCTGGGTGCCTCCCGATTTCATGGCTGAGAGAAAAACAATTGAAATGTTGGATGAGTATTTGAAACAAACACACACACACACACACACACACACACACACAGGAATACATCTCCACATATGTACAGCTGTTTCATTATTTGCCAATTTGGAGGACGCAATTTTGCATGACTGCATGATAGAACCATCACATCTGCTGACCAATTTGCCAGGCACTGTGAAATCAAAGTGGCAGTTGGGAGGTGGGTGTGACTGAGGGACAGGGATGGCGTGAAAAGCATCTGCTGACAACTACAGCTAGTTTGGAGTTTGATGAAACCGGAGATGGACAATTTGACTGAGTCTAGTAGCGACAATGTCTTCAGAAAAACAAGCGTCGCTTTGAGGGAGCCCAAAAATGAAAATGAGTGAAAGAAGTACCTTCACTTTTGGCACATTAGGCCCACAGACAAAACAATTCAGCTTATTATTATTACGTAATTACATTTTGAAAATCATCTCTCAAAACATGGCTGGATCTTCATTTCCTGAATCAAATATAAAATGAACTCCACATTTCCATCCACATAGCAGAACTGCTTGTGACCAGATGTTTCTCTGCACCCAGATGTGCTTTTGTATATTCGACTCTCCATGGTCCTTTCTTCTCTCACTCCCACCAAGCTGATCTTCCAAGAAACAAAACGTGAGCCGGAGCACATGTCTCCGACCGTCAGTCATGTCCACGATGTCTCCAAGGAGCCGTAGCTTCTTGCCTGCCTCAGACTCAGACAAAGGCCCCGCCAGGCGTTGTGTTTCCGTCATAATGGACAGGCTTTTGGGAGATTTGCCCATTTATTACAGGGCATTAACTTGAGTATATTACACAACACGGCGCTTCTGCCTAACCCCAATATCAGCATAAGCCCTGTGTAGTGGACCCACTTACTCAACGGCTTGCTGGCTGAGTAGCTTCCCGCGCTACACAGGACCGTCTTTTGTGTTTATTGACATCTCTCTCCTATTTGTTTCACTCCTTTCCCCTCATTCCTTCTTTGTACACGTCGCCATTTTATTCGTATTCTCTCTGCTGCGCTCTGTCGTCTGTCTCACTTTGCTTTACTCACCACAGGTAAGCCTGGCCGTTTACCGTGACTCATTTTCAATCGCTACTGTATTTGTTCATCCACTGTTGCACAGAGTTAAACCCACATAACAACAGCACCACCCAAGAGCAGAACGCCTGCACATGCTGCAGAGTTGCTGTAGCCGGGTCAAGAGGACAGAGGCCGCAGAGTAATGTTTAAAGTCAGTGCAGCTGCAGTCAACCTAAAACCTTTGAGAGATTGGAAACAATGGACAACGTTTTAATGCCGTGACCTTGGGCCCATAAGCCACAATCCACGAGGAGCCGACCTCCTTCTCTGCGCCGTGCTGGACGTTCATACAATTTTGTTTTTGAAACTACAAAAGTTAAACCTCTGTGAGAAACCTAAGCAGAGCTCGGCTGATTGTTTCTCTCAATTGTATCTGCGCTGACGTGCTATCAAACATTACTTGAGCAAACCTCAACGAGCGATTCGTTTGATTCTCCTATAGGCCATCTGTCTTTGTACCTGTGCAAGGATGTATGGGACTGTGTTCATCTAACAATCCATCTCCCGCTGTGCTTCTCCAAGCACCCGCAAATTAATCGATGTAGCCTTTTCCAAACCTTCATGTTCTTTGCTCTTTCTGGAAGCTCCGGGCTCCCCCACCCCTCCCCCGCCCCACCACGACACCGGCCTTCCATCCCCATCATGATGGATCCACCTTGCTCTCACCTGTGCCACCTCACGGCGCTGTGCGTATGATTTATGAGATCAGCTAGACACAGACTCATTTTAGTGCGGTAGCCATGATGTGTGCGTGTGCTTTTAGATTTAGGAGGAACAAAGAATTAAATTTGTTCTTCCAGGCACACCCTTTGTACTGGATTGTATTGTCTGAAGACAGGCGTGTGTTCTTAGGAGTGTGTCTGGACACACCTACAAATAATTGATGGTTTAATTATGGTTTATTTTAATTATTACCAACAGAGGGGAAAACACACAAACTGTTACGTTTGGGCGGAGATGTGGAACATGAATAATGAATGATTGTGAGCTGCCAGCGGGACTCATAACAAAGAGATGGTGGAGACAGCGTCTATAAGGAACACAATGACGTTGATGCACAAAGAGATGGAGATAACAACGCGCCCCAGTGGAGGATATTTTGGTGTTCACTGTCCAGTTTGAATGCAGTAATTATATTAAAAAAAAGATAACGTATTTTCACACCGGGATCTCTTTCACTAGAATTTAAGATGGTATCAGTATAATAAGAAGTTGAAAACTACAATGAAGTCATTAGCAGCATTGTGGAGAAATACAAATCAGACTCATAGCGGACTTGTCTCATACAAAGAAACGGACAGTTGTGAAATCATTTGCAGGAAAGACTTATTCTTACGGAATCTTTCCACACAAATCTTTCATTTTACAGAACAGAACTTTTTAACGCTTTCTTGGACGCGCAGATCCTCTACTCTTGCAGAGGAATTTCATTTTTTTCATTATTAAGCCCTGTTGTCTACAAATGAAAAACAGTCTGACTTTTTCATGTTCCCTTCATTTTTCCTGCCAGAAGACATTTTGAAGCATATGTCGTCCTTCTTTTCCACCCATCTGTTGTTGACATGTTCTCTTTCAAAGTTCACAATTTGGTGCCTGACTCACCCACGCTGGTGACCTCCTGCGTGGCCAGGTCCTTCAGCAGGGCGTCCAGCACCAGACTGTGCCTGGAGTACATCTCATAGCGGTTGATGCCGATATGAAAACGTAACCAGTTAGGGTACGATTCTGCGGTGCCTTCTTCCTTTGGAGAGAACTCCTCTTCGTCCTCCTCCTCCTCTTCGTTCCCCTCCGCATTGTGCCTGGAAAATAGAGAGGGTGGAGGTTTAACAAGAAGTTGTGGTGCAAGCAGATTCCTGTTGAGATTATTTTTAGTCGTTGTTATTGGTGCTTACAGATATAGACTGACTACTTTTTGGCACAGAGCCGTTGGAGACAGATGGATTTGTTATTATGAGGTTAAAGGGCAGCCTCAGTGACAGGTATAAAAAAAAAGAAATCCAGCATGCCGGTAAATTCAAATACATCAAAGGTCCCACACTTTTAAACATTTCAACTCACCATCCTTGGTTCCCATTTGCTTTGTTATAAAACCTGATGTCGGTGTTGACGTTGAACAAAGTGTCATCGCTGGTGAGGGAGGGAAGCTCAACGTTGTAGAAAGGATGCTCAAACAGAGCAAACAAGCGGGATGCACCGGGGGCGGCGGGGGCCGCCGGCCGAGCTGGCCCCGCGGCTCCGATCAGCGGTTTGTGGTCGTCCGCGTTCCCCGCCGGCGGCTTGGTCCGCCCGAAGGACTCCGCTCGGTCCCCGGCTGCCGGGATCTTCTCCAGGGAACGCGACGTGAGGTTGGAGCTCGGCTCGTTGCTGAAGTCCTGGAGGATCCGCAGCGTGTGCTTGTTAGGCCAGCCCGCTTCGGCCGCGGGCATGGCGGGTTGCTTCGCCCAGCCCTGCGACTCTCCGCCCGGGTGATGGGCGCATTGGCAGCCGCCGTCGCCGCTCCCCACGCCCGCCGCCTCCTTTTCCAGTTTCGGCAACAGATCTATCATGATGTGCATGGTGCACGCGACCAGAAACACCATGAGTATCAGCACTCGGAATTTACGAAAAAATATCATCTTTTTTTTCCCCCAAGTGTTTTTCGTTCTTCACGCAGAGACAGGCGAGTGCGATTTAAGCGCAGCGCGCGTTACAGCGCAGACACACTGATGGCAAAGCAGCAATGTTAGGCTGAAGATTTACTGTGATGACATCTTAAGCACTCCGTCATGTGCTCACTCCTATCTTCTTATTAATTACAATAATCCAAATTGTTCATTCCCGGGCAGGTGGACTGAGCCAACACATTTTGCGCTCTGGACACTGACCGCGGCTCAAGTGCGTTTCATTCACTGCCTTGTTGAGCAGGATATCGTTTCTGTAGGACGGACCACAAAATAAATCGTTAATCATAGGTAATTTGAAGAAGGAAGGGGAGGGGGGGGTCTTAATAAAAGCGCCGATAATTGTCCGATATTCATCTGCCTCCTTGTGTTGCTGCCAGCGCGCAGTAATGTGCCAATTGTGTCATAAGTGGAAAAAAAAAAAGTATCAGAAGAAATTTGAGTAGTCCACAGCCTTCCTCGTAATCTATGATGAGCTGATAACTAAAGAAGAAAGTAAAAAATTCCAGTAAAAAAATAAAATAAAATAACAGCTGATCCGCTGAGATGCTCGGATGCTGCGCGGCTCCCGTTGTGCGCAAGCCTCGTTGAAGTCAAACCCGAGACTGGCTGGCAGGTGTAGGGATCCTGGTTGTCATTTGGCCCCCTCCTCCTCCTCCACCCCCCAACCCCCCCACACCCTCTCTCCACTTACGCCTCTTCCCCCGTTCACGCCGCCTCGTCTTCTCTTCCGAGGGTTCATCCACGGTGGGTGTGTTAAATATTGTGATCGCAGCCCTCCGAGTCTCGCCTCGGTTGCGTCACGGGGAAGAGGTTGGCCGCGTCTTCACACAGAAGTACCGTCGCGCTGGTGACATGAAAGGCGAGATTCAGAAAAAATATGTGCACCGAAAAGCCTTTTGTGGCCGCAACTCCCGTGCACGCAGCCAGAGGGCGTTGGCACAACCTGCAGATTCCATGCCGGCTTTGTACTGTGAAATATGATCTGAAGAACATGTGTGATATACGCGCCATTGTTCCATTTGCTCAATAAGCTACTGTTTTCTGTAAAGTGGGTTCGGGGGGCGACGGGTCCTCGTGGATGAACGAGAAAGGTTTGTAATTCATTCAAAGTTCAGGAGAGGCTCACAAAAGGGCAGGTGACACGCGTAGACTATTGTATTGGTGCCAGACCCAAAAGCCTCCGTCTACGAAACCAAACATGAGACACATCTCATTTGATGGACGCAGATTGCACACATAAGCAGAAAAAAGCAAAAAAAGGGCCAAATGCAGTTTTTTGTGGCCTCCAACTCACACACTGTATCACAGGAACTTGTATTGCTACTCCAGATTCTGTAACAGTAGGCGCAGCCCTCCTGCAACTGTCTCTGTTGGGTTAGACTGGTACGTAGGAGGACCAGTGGTGCAACATTTCATCTGCTTTCTGGCAGTAACAGTAACACAATCTGTCCGACAGGGTGACAGCAGAGTGATAGTTAAGTTGTCTTACTGATTGCACAACTAAAGGGGAGGAATATGCAGAACTTAGTTGTGGGAAAGAGCAGCTATACGTCTGTGGTAGTTCCTCATTGTGGCGTTATGACTCACATTCAGACGGTCAAGGTGAAAACAACACCAGTCTCACATTGTTGCAGCTACTGTTATCAATCAATACAAGCCCAATTTTCTGTGGATCTTTGGAACCGAGTAATAGACCACTTATTTCATGCAGCAGCAGTATGTCACAGCCCTACAATGGCTAACTAGACACATGAATGAATCAAAGATTTTAAATATATGAATGCAATGGATCTGTGTCCTAAAAATGGTTCATTTTCTTTAATATATCTGTGCTTGTTTGCTATAAATGTCTGTCTACAGTTTTATTTGATTGACACGTACATGCATTTACATGTACTGTATATATATACTGGATAAAGAGAGAGGGGTGGATACTCGTTTATTCAAATCTCTCTCTTGAGATTCATTTCCTTCCATGGAAGTTCTGTTGTTTTTCTATTTTCCAATTTAGTGAAACACACCTTCAACTTACTGTTTACTGCAGGGGACAAAACACAGGCAGCAATTATAGAAGTCGGTACTTAGGGGTGGACTAGATTTCTCTGAGACTCGGCAGGATTAAACGAGAAGCATTTGAAGTGTCATTTAGTTTACACGAGGTGCCAGGCAGAAATATACACACTGAGAAATTCTATTTAACCATCTTGTCACAAAGCGGAAGAATGCATACAACCTCAGATGGGAAGCTGGTAATGTAAGCTCAGTGGAAACACAGAGTAATAAAATGAACAAATGATCCGTCTTCTTATGGCCTGGGATGTGTGTGTGTGTGTGCGCTTGCACGCGACTCACTAAGTGGGACCGATTGGAAGAGCTTCACGTGGCCGACGCCGCTCCTCCCAGAGGCGCCGAGCGGGAGTTCGTGCCACTGCCAGGCTTGCTGCTGCTTAATAAAATGGCATCCTAAAGAAAAACAAGCAAGTAATTGTTCCCCCAATGGCGACACTACTCTCCCGATACATCTGGGGCTCCAAACAAAACAAATTTGCCGCGTTCAGACACGTCGGAATCCACTTATAACAAAAAGTTATTTTGAATTTTTTTCCCACTGCACGAGGCTGTGATGTTGTAAAACAGCAGAAGGAAGTTCTGAAGCGAGACTTTTATTGATCTGTGAACCACAGTCAGCTCTGTTAATGCTGAGCTGTTCATCAGCGGCCCTCCTCCACTTTGTCAGAGGAGACGGACGATCCAGCAGGCTGTTTGTCTGAGACCGTCTGGGACCTTTCATCAACGATTTCTACCTTTTTTCGGGGAGGGCGAGACATGTTTTTAATGCAGATGGCGTTTGCGTGAACAAGTCAGGTAGGAACTATTCACTTCTGATCCGTTTCACTTTCTGCGTCACACCGTCTGCTCCCACTGTCTCTAGGACAAGAGACAAGAGGACTAAACAGGAGACAACCGCACAGCATCACCGCATCGAGACATTCAAGGGAAGGACACTCCCGCCTGAGGTGAGCAAAGAGGAGGAAGGGCCTGAAGAAGGCAACGGCCTCCCTTTGCTTTGGATTAAAGTCAAAGTCATTACAATGTTAAAGGTGCTCCAGAATGAGTGATAACTATTTTGACATTTTGTGAAACATCAGGGGAGAAATTAAAGTAGCAGGACAGCCTTTCCTCCTTCAGCATGATTGAGCGAGGCCACTCGGTATGGAATCTTACAAACTCATCACCTGCTGCAAAACCATGAACACACATATGGCTTTTCTCTTCAACAAATTCATTTTTTCAGTTTTTGATGAGAAAATGTTATGAAGAAGTGATCCGCAATGAGTTATATCAGGAACACATCACACCCAGGCCGTCTCATCTGCGCATGTTATTAATGCAGAAAAAGTAAAGAATTTCCACCGTCACTACGGCAATAATCCTTTTCTTATTTTGTAATGAGCATTGCAGCGACTCAATGTACTGATAACAAAAAAACAAACAGGGTTTGGACGTCTACCATCATTTTTGTGGCTAATAATTACAATGCTGTACACATCTGAACGCATCAGAATATCAATACCACCGGTATTGGTATTCAGGTCCGACTCGGCCCATCAGGATCTGCTGGGAAATATTTCTGTGTCTGAATGTTTGACCCAAGGGTTCTTCTGCTCCTCAGGTTGGGAGCAGATTTTGTAAAGTTCCGATTCAGCTTCCTGATCTCACAATGTTAATCTAATCAGTAAGAATCGAGGTCATCAGACAACGTAGCCCCCAAACCAAGTGAAGCTTGATTTTCTACATGAAATGAATCAAACATTCACAATATCTCTCTGGGAAAGAATTTGTATTGCTGCCTTCCACAAAAGAACATCATTTCAACCATATCCAGCTGTTTTATAAGCTTGCTGATTTGTTAACAGCACTGAGGCATGAATGGCTGCACAAATGTCATCAGCGTAGAAGTTATTAATCAGTAATAATAAAGACAGCAATAAATAGCAATACAAATTCTTGTTTTGACAAGTGGTTGTTATTAACACTGGATCAGTAACACAGAGGAAGGGTTTGACAGAGCAAGTCGGAACTAGTGAGGCAGAGTGTTGAGTAATGACACATTCATTCACTTGACTGAGAACAAGCCGAAAATGCACTTTATTTGGTAACATTCGAGACACATTGCGTGAAAAGAGTGTTGAAATACCACAATAGTGTAATTTCCTTTTGCGAAACACAGTACTCAATTTATTTCTCTTATCTGACAAAAAAAGTATGTAATTAAATGATTTTATTTTCAAATAGTGCAAAATGGAATTTTATGTGTTACGGCCCATACTCTTTTTTTAACGTGTAATGGGACTTTCAATATAAAGCACCGCTCTGTACTGTATTAGTATTTCATTTGCAGCCTGAGCCAATCACAGCACGCCACAGAATAAGAGCGAGGAGACTCCTGGCGTCGGGCGCGGCGTAAGGGGGGCCCCTGGTGTGTTGGTCTCTTTATTGCAAAGACTCAAAGAGTAAAAAGGGGGGATTTTAAACGACGGGGTGATGGGGTGCGACCTTGAAAGCGAAGACACAGAAGGGATGGTCGCATGTGCTTTGTGTCATTGTGTGTGTGTGTGTGCGTGCGATAAAGACATGGCGGCGTTACAGCAGCTGCTGGCCTGTCGTTCTTCAGATGGTTCGGGTGGTCTGTCCATCATCTGCTGACAAAGCAGTTGACGCCTCCTGGTCACCCAAGGTCCCTCTTCACACCACTATCAAAGCCAAATGATAAACGTCGGCCTTTTACTTCAACTCTGAGGCGACTATCTGTACACGCTCGGTTATGCTCAGCCTTCGCCTTGATGCAACTTGGTCATTTTATATGTAAATCAAAGAAAGGTGTCATTATTTTGTTTGTGGAGGTGGTTCTCTCCTTCGTCTGAGTATTTTGACAGTATGAACTGCATCTCAGAAGAAGTAAATGGCTCACTGAACTCATGTTTCACTGTGGGTTTTGATGACCATGTGGTAAACTTGTGACTTTGTCCAAAGGCAAGCTGGGATCTGCAATATGGGGGATGTGCTCCAATATCTCGCTAAATGGTAAGAGGACGTGCTGCCGTTTGACAAAAGCAAACTCATCTTTAACAACATTTCTTTAAAGCACAAGATACCAAAAGTGCAATAAAGGAAGAAAAATAAACCCAGAGTCTACCTTTCACCCAGAGCTTCCTCCGAGATTCTGATTTGCTCATAAATTCCAAATTTCCTGCTACAAGAACAACACTCGGCGCCGTAATGTGTTTTAGTTACGCTCTCCATTGTACGCTTAGTGATTTAGGCTGATGCCAAGCATCAACATTTATTTTCTGTAATTTCTTGCTCAATAAAAACACAAAGACCTTTGAGACACAGCGAGTCTAAAATCATGTAAATGATTTGACCAAAAACACATTGCGTGAACTAAGTGCTAGTCAGTGTTATTGATCTTGATCTGAAGATTCAAAGCTGTCGGCAAGATTACAAACGGTTGCGTGTCTGTGTTCCCTTTTCCCTGCTGATGAGGATTGGATATTGACCAAAGGGAGATTGTAGCAGAGAGGAGTAAAATGACTTTTCTACTCTGTTTATCATTAACCTGCACCTACT